GACTTCCTCCAAAATCAGGCAATTTCTGTCCCCGTTTTTGTCCAACTTCAACACCACCCTGCAGCCCTGAGCGGGTCCAAGTGGCCATGAATATGCAGCATCTCCAGAAGCCACGGTTGTGAGGTGCTTAAGCAGTGTGAAATTAAATGATTTGTTCGGGGCGGAGGTCCTGCTACCCGCCAGCCTACCCCTTTTGACAGCAAGAGACGCTCGCCGTAGCTGCAGAGAGTTCAAGATGTTGCGTATTACAAAGATTTTCCTAGGAATAATTGACCACATGAGGCAAGAAGCAGGGAAGAGTTTTGCTCGGTGAATGTTAAACAACACAATTATTCAGCGTAACGAGCTAAGGCTAATAGGAAAGAGCTGCAAATGTGGTATTCAAGGGTACAACCCACGGCTAGCACTCGCTTAAGCCAAATTCTCCTTCGTTAAATTTGAAACAAAAGCCTCTGTTTTCCTACCGTGATGAAGACAATGAAGAATCTTCTTCCCGCAGTTTATTTACGGCACTTCCAAAAACCTCATAAATGTCAGAGATGTTGGGTAGCAAACATTACGGGGCATGACGACAATGAACTTTTTATTTATGAAGACAAAGATGCGCACCCATGAAACGATAGAAAAAAGAGATTTGTTAGCATTCTCCTAATCTTCACGCCAGGTTTCCATACAAAGCCTCTTCTACAGGATAATTGATGGGAGTTTTATATAAAATAATGTTTTAAAGGTGACTTTCTGGTGCTTTTTGTGATGTCCTCACCTGCACTCTCCCTCCACCGCTGCTCCGTGGGTCTAATTTGTCAACGAAATGAAACACGGCGCAAAATAGCGACTTCAAGCAGTGCTTTGGGATCACACTTGTTCTCTTTAACAAGTTTTTTTTTTTTTTTTACAGAAAGGTTTTCTTTTAGAAGACAAAAAGGTTGGCAATTTGTTTAGCTTGAAACTGCAAGTCCTGGACTTTTTTGTTTTCCTGCCGCCTGCTGTGGAAACGATCCCCTTCTTTGACCTCTGCTGACGAAGGTTTGGTAATTGTCCCATTGTTTTTGAACAACGTGCTCAGTGTTTTTTCTAGAAGGAGAAGCTGTAGGTGCAGGTATTTTTTTGACAAAACTCTACTAAGCGTTGGACGCGTCCTTCTCCTTAGCAAAGAAGGCTATTTTCAAACGAAATAAACTAGAAATGAGTCTCTTAGTAGGAACAAGCCACACGTTAGTCAAAAGAGAGGGCAAAAAAGGGCATTTTCAGCTTTCATGTTGAATTAGATTCACGCCCAGAATTTAATGGCAACAGACATGCACACCTACGTGCGTATCCATCCCATCACTGCTCTCTCTTTTGGCCAAACTGGACGCTACACATAATTAATTCATAGGAAAAGAAAATCGGGAATCGTGTAGAAAGCTTTGAAAGAAGATTTCGTCCTGAAATAACTCTTGGTCGCTTGCCACCAAGAGGCCAGCAGTGGTTATTTCTAATAACCAGCCAGCGGTGATTACGAGCCCCCGTGCCTTTCGCCGGTTTCTCAGATCAAATTCTCCTCTTAATTGTCTCAGCCACGTCTGCGTTGCGATTTACAGTGAAATCTCTTTTAGGCAGGGAACTGTATTTCTGTCCCAGTCCTCACCGTTATCAATTCTGAGCTGACTGAGGTCTCCAGTCCCACAGCCCCATCAATATTAAGCAATAATCACGATAATAGTAATTCACGTCGAGCATCTTCCATTTGCTTGGCCGTCTCCGTCACGTTATTAAATTAATCGATCTGCCAGCATCAAAGAAAAATAGCAGCGAGACAGAAATCTTATTAAACCGGAGATAAAAATTTAAACAATTCTGCAAACGACCAAAGCAAAGTCTTGGGTCTCTTCTGTGCGCGGCTCAAACCCGGTTAGCAAACCATGACGGCTGGTTATTTGTTTTGATTGCATCAGTCCGTGCTTTTTAAGCGTTTAATTGAATTAATTCTCAGCAAGTGCTGCCAAGAGAAGAAAAACAAGGAGACGGGCAAGACAAAGACTGCAGAAGCGCAACAGGCTGGGTTATCACAACCTTTTCCAAAGGTGAGAAACTGCGTACGGTTCTTCGCCTCGTTAGGAGTCACATTAAAAAAATAAAAAAAAAAGGAAATAGCATTTCGGGGCACGGTCTTTGAAGATGGTTCTGCTTGAAAGAAAACTTTTTATTCCTTGAGATTTAGTGAGTTTAGTTCATTTCTGCTATATTTTTGCTGTTTCTGGTTGCCTTGATGTAGATATTTCAAGTCCATTCCCATCTTACAAGGATTTTATGTGGTACATGGGTATGGGCACTTCCCTACATTGTTCCTACCTTCAGGACACGGTCCAGGAGAGCGCAGAACAATTCCACATCACTTTTTCTTTCAAGTAAAGATCCACGATACATCCTTAAAACACCTTTTTACGCAGGTGCCAGCCTACGAGCTTTTAAAACTAATACTCTCCATTAACAGTGGGTGCTTTGGAAAGCCATAGATCTCCTGAGCAGAGGATGAATTTTGGAGCAGAGGCTCACGGCAGACTCTTTTACCCCACCTGTACAAAATAACTCTACCTATAAGTGCAAATAACCCTATAATACATCCCAAGGTGGGAGCATCCGTGCCCCATCCCACGCAGCGTCGTAACCCGGGTCTTATTTTCTATTTTTGTTCAAAGCGCTTCAAAATGGAAACGATCAGCCTAAAAGGTCACTAACCATGATCAACTGCTCGGTGACATTTTAACTTGAGAGTAAGGAAGGCAAAAGTAAACACGAAGGTTTGGAACAAGATGCGCCAAGACGACAATGCCCTTTGGGCACGGCTTGTAAGACGAAAGCAACTGCAGCAGAGGGAATTTTGCAATAAATAAATAAAGATCCAGCAGGTTTGATGGCATGAAAGCAAGCAGGGAAGAAAAAGATCAGCCTGACAGGTACTCAGTGGTCCCGACGGATCGGAGATCCTATAAATGTTCCTTAAATTGCGGTTTATCCTAGTCGGTGAGCTTTGGGTGAGCTTTGGGCTCCTGCTTTTGGGCAGCTGTGCAAATGGACGTGGCGAGGATAACGTCCGAAGGGACATCCTGATAAGACACATATGGGTGGGAATTGCACCTTTCTTTCACGTTCTGAAGTTTGAGCTTTGCAATGTCCTAATGAGCCAGTGAAAATCAATGAAACGAGCTCCAAAACAAGAGCTTGTGCAGTGCCGGTAAATGTGAGGAGTAAATAAAAAGGAGCAATCTCCCCCATCTCTCCGAACGCATTCAGAAGTAGCACTCATCAAGCACGAAGCGCAATTAACACCTATTATGTACAATATTATCTTACGAAAGAATATTAGCCCGCTCCATCAGGGAAATGGCACAGGTTTTTCTACGAAGGGAATTACGGCATTGAAATGAAACAAATGAACGCTTCCGAAGAAAATGGAGATGTGCTCATCGGAATAAGCAAGACGACAACAGACCTACCTGCACGTGGTGCGTACAACCCCATCAGTAAGATATTTCTTCCCCACCCCTCCTTTCCCTCAGGACCAGCTCTGCTTCTCGTTATTCCCGGAGATTTTTCTATTTAATCATGCCACAGTTATGTTTATTACCGACGTTAATCTGCAATCAGGGAACAGCTTCTGCTGTTCTCTCCTAAGTTGAAGTGGCACTCCTGTTGCTGAAGCCTCCCTGAAAAAAAATCACTGCTTCTCTTTCGAACATTTTTGGGGTGTTTCAGGGCTTATTTTAATGAGATCTTGAAAGGAAATGAGGCTTTTCATTCCCACGTGTATGGGAATATGTGGTGTGTCCACCTGAGGAGCTCACCAATACATTTTTGATGCTTCTCCCCACTTCCCTTAAATGCCATAGTCTCACAGGGTTGAATATGACATGGAGAAAGGAGTTGGGTTGAGAATGACCCAGTTGGTGTCCCCACATAGGGAAAACCTACAGCACTGGTAAACTTGTTACAGGATGGGAGAATCGTGTGGGACCTGCACAGCAGGAAAGCTCCGAGGTGCTGTGGCTCTGCAGCAGGATCAAAATTCACTTTTTGAATCCTATTTATCCATTAGACAAAGCTGTTTTATAAAATTATTCACATTGCTGGTCACACACAGCTCTATTTTGCATAGGAAAATACCGCAGCACCTGATTGCCTTTTATCTTTTTCTCACATGAACCTCCAAGAGATCCGAATACATGGTTTTGTTCACGCTTTTGCTACGATTCACTGATTTTCAGTTAGTGATATACGAGTTTTTTCTTGCCTTTGTTTCTGTCTCCTCATGCCAATGCTGAAATATGGCACGGAAATGTTTTAAAAAAACAACACTGAGTTTTTCTTCTAATGAGATTTCACCCGAGACGCTTTTGTGTGAGTCAATGCACACAGGTAAGCATGCAAGAAAGCAAAAATAAATCCTCGCAGAACTCCTTAAGGATCACAAAAACGTTATTTTGATCCTTTCAGGTATGGCCACCGTGACCTTTTTTGCCCTTTACAGTGACACAGGACAAGTTGCAATGGCAATCCTACAGAGGGATTGCCCAGGGGGAACAGAAAACCTTTTGGTGTCTACCTTTTGGTAGACACCACCAAAAAAAAACAAAAGGTTTTCTCAGAGAACCACATTCCTTAATGATGCTCAGTAACACAGCTCCAATAGAGGTACAACAGAATAAACACCCAAAAAGCCACGGAGGAGCAAATTCCTCCTTAATTCCTTGATTCTTGGCATCGACAGCACCCCAGGCTAATCTCATTCATCGACTACCACCCACCTCTGCTGGACTGATGCTGTAGGAGGGCTTTTTTTTCCTAATTAAGACGTTTTGGGGCACAGGTGGCATTTGGGACCGTGGAAAGGAAAAGCGGAACGCCTCCCAAAATCAAATTCAGCCGCAGAGGAGGGATGAGATGCAGATCGTGGAGATGCAGAGCCTACCAAAAGCAGGGATCACTGGCCACGAGATGTTGAACACGGGCAGACTTACCCTGGAGTTGACCACTTCCAAGGAGACGTTCTGGGGCATGGCGCTGGGCACTGCAAGGGAAGAGAAACAGAGAGAAGTGGGACAAAGTGCCATCAATAGCCAAATCCCAACAAGCTACACCCAATATTTCTCCCGTCGGACAGAAAGGAGTGTGTTTTTTTTACGTGTGGTTTATAATCAGCTCACAAGCATGCACATCATCCAGGTGGCACTTCAGAGGTCCCCCAGGGAGAGAAAAAACCAACTGCATCTGCTCATTCCTTCTCGTTTGTGATAGACCTATTAGCAAACCCTTTAAACAGCCATTCAGCGGCTTCCCTGCAGTGACACCGACTACTTGAATTCATTTCTTTGTTATCATCTCGGTCGAAAAAGGATAGGAGCAGGGCAGAATTTTTTCTGGTATTATCCATCAAGGTAAGTGCATTTTGAGGACACATCACACGCAGACTGACCGGACGCCCCTCTCACTGCTACCTTGCTTTTAGAAGGATGCCAGGAGGGAAAAAGGGCATTTTTTTTCTCCAGATATTACTTAAAAAGCAGTGTTTTCCATTAAGGCTGCGATGTGACAAAACAACCATTCGGGTCATCCGCAACCAAGTATTTCCTGACAAATTTCTTCCTGTTTTCCACTCTGCATATATCTCTTTCCAATCTGCTCGTACAAGACCGGTTCAAATATATATTCATTCCTCCAGCAGATGGCCAATATTAATTCAACTGCTGAGGAGCCAAGAGCTTTACAAATATGTTCTTAGTTGTGATGCATCAGCTCCCTGACACGCACCTCAAGCTTTATTTCCCTTCGAGAGAAATATTGCCTGCCTAAGTTGGCCCTGAATTTGCAAAAAAAAAGAACTGAAAAAGGCCCACGGTAAATACCCAATTTAAGAAGAGTTGGCAGCCTGATGCATTAGGGCAAATGAGAGAAAATGATTTTTCAGTGTACAGTTATGAATACATCAAGCCAAAGCTGTGCTCTTTAAACCATTTTTATGTGACGTTAACAAGAGCGCTCGGGCAAAATTATTGTTTCAGCTGCCCGTGTTCAAATTGGTTCAGCAAAGATCTACACCAATGATCTCAGACCTGAAGCATCGCAGAGATCGAATGAATTAATTTTGTTTATTTAAACGGCGTTAAGAAGTGTTTGGTTTATTGTCTAGAGCTACCTGAATGGGAGGAAGACTTCTGGTTGTAGGGAATAATTTAATAGGTAAAGAGCTGGAAGCCATGTAGAAAGGGGACATACTTTGCATCTTCAGTGAAAAATGGGGGAGAGTGGCACCTTTAGCACCAAGCAAAACGTAGACACGGCTCGGTTTGTAACTCGCTCTGGCCAAAATTTCTGGGACTGAGGAGAGAATGAATGGGTGAAAGCCAACGTATTATACCGAGGACACGATGGGGACCACCTTGAAGCATCCTCAGCGCACAGGATTGATGCTGCGGGAAGGATTTGAGTCAGCCAGAGCTAAGTCATTTGCCAGGGCTAATAACAAAATAATGGGAAATAAGAGGAAAAGCAACAACATGCTAACCAGGAGGGTCCTGCTGCCAGCAAAGTCCCGCTCTGATACCGTTGTATTTATGAAGGCTCCGTGGAGCATAAAAATTAACAAAAAAATATAAAAATGATGCATTTGAATCACAATAGCCTGAAAATTCATTGTCTAGGGGCAATGGTACAGCAAAGTGAGCAGGGTGTCTGAGCCACCTTTCCTCTGCGTTGCTAACTTTTATGTTTTATTGCCACTACGCATTATTCTCCTACCAGATCAACTTATCTTCATTTTTCCTTTTCCATGATTTGTTTGTCTTTATTTTTCTGATTGTTTCTCTTTGGCGAACGCTTGTCATATTACCCAATTTTGTTGCGCTCGTACATAATTGATGCACGCTTTATCTTTCCTGCCAGATCTTTGATCAATAAGAGAAATAAATCTAGCCCTGACCCAGCATCGAACTCAATCCCTTCCATGGCAATGCTGGGCATCTTCATTCCTTGTTCTCCTCTCTGAGCTTTCTGCTTTACTAAATGGGAGACCCCGATTTAATGTCTGGGGTTGCACAACCAATTCCCCTGGCAAACCAAGCGCTGGAGAGATTACAATTACATCCTCTGCTTTTCCTTCTTGATCACGTAAAGGAATCGGATGCACCCGGTAAAACTTTTGTGGATTATTCCCAGCTTGGATGATGCCATGAGAAATTAGAGCAGAACTCATTTCATCGATACGCGATGAGCAGAGACAGACGCATCCGGGGATAAATTCAACCCCTTCGTCTTGGCATGAAGCTGGGTGAGATGAGCCTCACTGCTGATGATGGGAAGAGTGTTCATATGGCAAGGCACTGAGTTTTGGTACTTCTAATTGGTAGAAATAATAATAAAAAGAAGAAAAAGAATGGTTCGGTTGGAAGAGCCCTTCAAAGCTCATCAAGTCCATGGGTGGACTTGATGAGTGGTCACTTTAGGGCCAGCCAAAATCGATGAGGGCATTGTCCGAATGCCTCCTGATCATGATGGGCTTGGGGCATCCATCCAGAACCCCTCCAGGAAGCCTGGGCTATAAATTTTATTTAAACCAAGTACTCGGGAAGCATGAAAGAAGACCGGCTGCCAATTGCCGGGATTAAATGCGTTTTGATAAATTCACCAGCACGATAGCTCAGGATCCAATGTGCAGGATCCAATGGCACAGGCTTTTTTTTTCTTGTGGTGAAGCTACAGACCGTATCATACGGTGTACAGCCAAGGACTGGGATGGAAAAAATAACTTGAGCAAGCACACTCGCATTCCCAAGAGGAAAAAAGGCTTAAAAACGATTCTGGTCCTTTTACAAGATGAAAAGAAGCAGCCCAATCCCAAAGACTTCTCTACCAGTGAGTGGGGAGCAGAAACTAACCCTGTTTTAGAAAGTGATGTGGATATGGGGAACTGCAGGCTTTCTCCTCCCTTTATCGCTCACCAATAAACCAGGACGGATTAATGGCTTCTCCTCTCCTCTCTGTAGGTTGATAGCTGCACACAAGTTATTTCTTGCTGTTTTATGGGGCAGAAAAGGCCTTAACCCTGGGAAAGGTCTTTTTTTTTTTTTTTTTTTTGAACCATAAAAGAAGGAATTGCAGGAAGGTTTGGACTTGTGCTCTCCACTCCCTCATCTCCTTCCGTACAACGAGATGCTGGGACTACCACAGTAAGAAGGATGAAAAGAAATTTTTCTCTTTCTCTTCTTTTTTCTCTTTCTCTTCTTTTTTCTCTTCTTTTATACCTGCTCCAAACCCTTTTTTTTCCCCCTTTCTGCACATCCCCTCCTGAGAGGGGGGTTTGTTTTGTGGGAAAAGCTTTAAAACAAAGCCAGAATTCACAGATTCTTGCTTAATTGCAATTACCCTGGGATACCCCAGGTTTCAAATGTCATCTGGATATCGAGGATGAGTTATTGGTAGAGAAAGAGCCCAGGAAGAGCCTCCTCTTTAGCAGTGATTTTTGTTCGCAGACAGGTGAAGCGTTTGAAACACTTGCGGAGGATAATTTCCAGCCTCATGAATAACAATCTTTTCCCTTTCTCACTTATGATGACATTTAAAACCAAAGTGGAGTACAGGGCCGCAGTTCTACACTTCACGGCGTGAATTAAATCTGCATACATTATGCAAAATATTCATTTTTCGCTTGTTTTCCTTTTGTTTTTATAATTATAAGTGTGAAGTAATTTATTCTGCCAAGATCCAGCCCGTATTAACAGGGGAAACTGAATTAACCGGGGAGACAGAAGCAGCACTTGAAAAAATAGTGCAGAGGTGTCAAATAGAAAATAACGGTGCCAAACGAGCTGGGGGCTCGTGGATGGATCCCACTGAAGACAGAGCCTGGAGTAAGGCAGATTAAAATAGCATTTGCTTGGGGTTTCCCCTACACCTTGTCACCTGCGTGGCCTGGGGACTGTGCTGCAGCCACCTCAAAGAAATGCAGGAGCTTCTCCAGAGCACGATATCCCTCTCATCTGCTGTTTTTCTCCAGGGTTTATACAGCTTCTGCTCCTGCTGCCCAGAAACTCGTATTGATTTTTTCAGCTGTGGAGAAGCGTTCAGAAGCAAAGGAGTTCGCCAGCCAGACAGAAAATCGCCATTCTTAACCTCAGACAAAATTTTGGAGAAAAATTTTGGAGAAAAATCCCTCCGGCTGTGGGGCTCGGTGGGGAACTGTTCCTGAAGCACCGGCACCCTCCTGTCTCTGCTCTCTCTTCTGCTTTCCGGGCTCTCTTCTCCCCTTCATTTATTCGTCCTTCCCCCAGCAAGTATCAGCTATTCTCTTTTAACCGTAAGGGCTGTATTTCCTCTTAAAACCAGAGAAAACTGCCTGGCAGCAAAAATATCTAGTTGGAAAAGTCAGCCTGATGGAGATCCTTCTTGGGCTTTGCATGCACCCACTCCACCAAATTTTTTTTTTGGTCTTTTTTAGGTTTTTACACCTTTGTGGCCGAAGTGACTTTGATATAAGTGACTTTGTAACTCTTGCTTTGGCTAGGTCCACGAATCAGACTCAGTGTCTTCAAGAGGAGTAAGGTAGGTGTAAACTCTTGTGTTGGCCAACACAACTAAGTGCTTCCTAATGCAAAACCCGATTTGATGTACCTCCCCTGTGTGTCCCGGGAGCCTGGGGAGGACGGCAGGGAAGGTGCTGTGACTGAGCAGAGGGTGAAGCACGAGCACATCTACTGCCCCACCATATAACATGCAAGGAAAAGGCAGGCAGTTGTGTCCTCCAATGCCATTGTAATGAAATAGCTACAGGGTATCCACACCTGTGCTCGAGTTAGAGAGAAAATAGAGCCGTGCTGCATCCTCATTATTAGATGTAGGTATAATGAAGTGAACCAATTATCCCTGGAGATGAGCATTAGCTCGGAGCACTGCAGGCAGGTTATGAATCTCTGGTTTCCGTCCTGCACGCTGAATAACCAAATTGCTTCATTCCTGTTTCTTCCTCAACGTAGAGAAAAAAAGCATCACGACCTCAACCCGGCAACCCGTTGGGTCTTTCCTTCTCCACTTACCATCCGAAAGCGTGGTGACGGTGACGTCCTCGGTGGAGACGCCGGGGCCGTAGCGGTTGTAGGCCAGGAAGCGCAGGGTGTACTCGGTGAACTTCTTCAGCCCCTCGAGCCGGTAGGAGAGCCCTTCCACCTCCACGTTCTGAGCACACACAGACAGCAAGAGGTCACCAGGAGTAACACGAACACAGGTGAGCAGTTTGGGGACCAATATGCTGCTCTTTGAGTAGCTAAACCCTTATTTAAGATGGAATAAAGGGCAATTTCTAGCAGAATAGGTTGTTACAGACATGCATCCGCAACAGGAATTTTTACCATGAGCAGCTATCAGTCTGGGGAGAGGATGTGCCATTTCTAGGCTGGATTTGCATTATTTTACCCTCCTCCAATAAACCTGGAAGAAGTTACAAGAAGCAACTAAACCCACGTATTCTACAACGACCACACGTACAACCTGCTACCAACATCTTGATGGCTTAGCACAATGTAAAGGGGGAATCCTAATGGGTCTTTAAACGGGATTTAACATTTTGTTGAAATTGCAGAGCAAACAGAAGAGGGATTTCACCAGCATGAAAGAAGCTTTTGCAGCCCAAGCTGAATGCCCCCTTTCCCACTCACCTGCTCCCTTCCCGTTGCTGTCTCCGTCCAGAAGAGCCTGTAGCCTTGCACGGGGCCGTTGGCGTAGGCAGGGGGATCCCAGGACACGAGGATGGAGGTAGGTGAAGTGGACACAGCCCGCAGGTTTTCCACCGGCCCTGGCACTTGCACTGCACGGGAAGGAAAGGACCGAGTGAGATCTCCGCTCCCGTGCTGCTCTCAGCCCCCACATGCGGCGTGACCCTCAAAACTTAGACAGTCAGAGATGAAAGGGAGGCCAAACCCACGGAAAATAACACCAGAACAAGGTGACAATGTTCATGCTGGTGAGGGAAGACACCCAGAGCAGCCCCACGGACAGGAGCCCACGGGTCCGGCCTGGCTGGGCACAAACACATCGGTACCCCCCGATTAGCAGTGGCATGAGGTTACTCCTGCTGAGTCACAGAAACCTGGAAGCACGGAGCGACGTGATGGATTTGAGCAAAAGAAACCATAGAGCTTGGCCATATAGCCCCAGAAAACTGCTTGGAGCAGTGCTTGGACCAGAGACCTCCCCCAGCCAGCATTACTCCATCATCTCCAAACCCTAACTAGCCCAAAAGAAGCACAAACTTCAGTATTAATTAGTCCCAGCTCTGCCCTTAAATAATATTCCCATGTTTGCACAGTGCTCAGTGCTTATAGCAATTATAGGACCATAATGAACTCAACTTCTAAACCAAATAACGACAATAAAAGCGTTGAAATACCTGGTCCTTGAAACTGATATTTAATTCATTTAAGCTGGTAACTGCAGAAGTTTGCAATAGTTTTCGCTCTAAATAGAGATCATTTGAAATGCAAAATGTGCCTTAACACCAGATTGTGGTGGGTGAAGAAACACAGAAGTCCTCAAATGCCAACCCCAAACAATCCTTTGCCATTGTTCAAGGAACAATAGCGGGTCACCTTTTGTTATGCAGACTGTCTCTTAAAGTGCTCCAATTTCTCTCTGCATGCAAATTATGGCGCATTAACTACATCACACTCAGCCTGAATTAGTTCTTAAAACAAAAGAGCTGAAAATCTTAATAAACTCCTACAAGCACCAGCAGTCCTCCTCCTGAACATCAGCCGCGGCGGGTCTCCGTTGGACCAAACCCCAGTGGCGAAGGAAGGTTTTGAGGAGAGAATCCCTCCAGTTTATCTGCGCCTTCACCTTGAACTCCAGCAAAATCAGAAGAAAAACGAGCAATAATCAGGGCCAAAATGCAAAGGTCGAGCAGGAGGTTACTGCTGAACACCTTCAGCACCAAATAGCATCTTTTTCCTTTCAACGGAGCGCGTGCCGCAGCACAAAATAAACTCACCGGCTATTGTGCGCACGGCACGGCACCTTTGATCACACATAAATTCAGCTTTAAATGTTAACATTTGAAATATTCTGTATTTTCTTCCCCCGGCTTTCCCTTTTCATTCCATCTCATGTTTCCGACAGGCGTTGTAACGTGCTTAAGGTCTCGATATTTGCAGCGCACACAAAGCATTTCGTAATCTTTCCTGATCCCTTCCGACAAGCAGTCATCTGGAGAAAATTGGCATTAGGTTTTCAATCTTTTCCTAAATTCTGATTTTGCTAAGTAGCAGAGAGGCTCTAGAACCGCTTTACGTCCCATTAAAATGAGACATTAAATCGTATTTCTTCTGAAGTTGGTCTTTTACAACTAACAGCGTCCTTTCTCGGAAAAAAAAAGAAGAAAGCAAGGAGGGCTGGCAGAGGAACAGCATATTTTCTGTTACCATGAGTTCCACGTAAACACTTCAATATATTTCCAAAAGCACTGTTTCTCTGAGAATGCCCTCCTGCTCCCATAAAAGATGGGTTCAGTAGCTCAGACTTTTTCATAAACACGAGCTACAACAACTGCTTGGAACGATTTTGCTGCTGCTCTCCCGACTGCCAGTTTTGGAGTTATTTGGGGGAATTTCTCCTGTTTAGGAGTCCATATAAAAGCAAAGAGTTCATGTGCACTTGGCAATACCTCAAGTGCCTCCGGAGAAGGGCTTTAACTCCGTCCCTCCTCCCATCCTACAGAGCACAAGTGCTGCACATCCACGTCCCGGCCCGACTGCTGAAACCCCACTCATGTGGGGTGAGCTGGAATCCTCTGGCAGGAGAAATGACACTCAGAAGCATACCTACAATGGAAAAGCTCAGTCAATGTGGCTCGTTTTTGGGGTCAGAAGAGCTGGGGGAGCTGAAGAGGACTTCAGAGCTCGGGGAGGGACCCTAGAAGTCTTGGCCACTTGTAGGCTTTCAGACCTCTAGTGACCCTGCTTTGTTGTAGGGTCAGAAAGAGCTGGTATCCCTTTTATAGTCAACTGCTTCTTGAATCCAATTTCTGCTCTCAGGAGCCTTCGCTTCTCTTGCACAGTTTTCCTCTTTGCTGTCATTCACTTAAAATTTTGATGATAATAGTTATTAAGATCCAGGAAAGATACCAGTGCCTAAAATAGGAATGTGGGCAGCCACGTCAAAAATTGCTTGGCAACTGCCTAAAGATGCTTAATATCCCTCTCAGACCCGAATTTTTGGGCTCATACCCAGGTACCACTGGAGACCAGAGAGAAGAGCAGCTGAATTCCTCAAGGAGCCCTCTGGCAGGTACAGGATCAAGTAGTAGCCCCCAAGACCACTGACTTGAGGTCTAGAAGATGACGTTGAACTTCTTTTGGAGCTACTGGTGGGCTCCAGCCTTGAGCTCTAAGTATTGATGCAGAATTACGCACGGCAGCCTTGGGACAAGAAAGCAGAGCCCTAAACATCACCTTCAAGTCGAATCTCCCAAATATGATCTGAGAGGATCACAGTCCTGCTTGTTTTATTTATTTTTTTCTCTCTTTTTCTCTCTCTGGTCCCAGAGATCTTGACCTTTTCTGCCATAGCCCGAACCAAACTCTGTTCTCTTCATTGGGATTTCACAAGTATCATTCCATACTGGAGTAAAACTCAAGTTGCGATGAAGGATCCTTCTGTAAAAATGTGTTGGCTTGCTTTCCCTTATTGAAGTTCAGCAATTTTCTTTTTATTTTTATGGCTCACACAGTAGCTTTGTTGGATTCTTGCAGATGACAACACGTTAGAGGAAAAGCAGGATGAGATTCACAGCGCGTTTGTTCTTTAGGACATGTTCAGTGAGAAGGGTTAGGTGACAGACCTAGGAACTCGTCATTATTTCCACTCTTCCCCATACAAACTCTCAGATTTCGGTGCTTCCTGACCATTACAAGCACCCTCAGATCAGTTGTAAGGGAGTGATCACCAATGTTTTATTTCTAAACCACCTGCATGGGATGTCTAAGTGCCACGGGATGCTCTGTCATTCATTAAAACCCTATGAGAAGAGATAATTAAACCAGAGGGAACCTAAAAGATGTTTTTCCTTACTTAGTCCCATGGAAATAAATAAGAGAAGACCTTTTTTTAAGAGGTTGGATGCTTCTGCAGGAGAGCCACGAGCCCGTGTGCGGAGGAAGAAGCTGGTTTATTGCCACAGTTTCTACTGGGGAGAACATCTCTCTGTGAGTTAAAACTTATCAAGAGATCACTACTGTAAACTAGAAACCCAAAGAAATATGGGATGCAAAAAATAACGCCATCAACCAAGTAACAGCCTGCAGTCAGTGAGATAAATTAATTTAGAAAACGCGCTTTTGTTACAAAATGTGTTTCTGGGTGTCCAAACATGCCCCGCGTTTGTTCCGAGGTCTGAAAACTGGAAGGAAAACCCTTCGGAACGGAGGAGCATTTAGCTGGAGGTCCCACTATGCACTTAAGGGGAATGATAGCATCCGCAGGAATCAAAAGTAACTCCTATTGACTTCAACAGGGCCCGAAATTCAACCTTTTATTTTGAGAAACTGCCCAGAAAGATAGGTTACGGCAATCCTGGCTCTGGCTCAGGCTTCCAGAGGGAGCTTGGATAAATAATTTAATGCTTTTCTGCTTCATTTTCCTGCCCATAAAGTGGCATAATAATATATCTCCTACCCATCCTTTATCTTACCTCTTTAGACTGCAAGATTTCTGGGGCAGGAAGAAAAGTCCGGATGAAATAAAGATAAAAATTCTCTGCTCCTTCTCCGCAAGTCGGTCCAAGAGAAGTACGTCACTTGGCATAGCGGTGCCTGTGTGTCTCAGCAGATTTGGAGCAGAATTACGACACACTTCTAGGCAGAGAGGCTTATTATTTATGAAAATAAATGATTAGATGACAACTGGTGGGTTCTTCTTCATACCAACTTCATACCAACAACCTCCATGAACCACAAAAGGCAGGGAGAGTGCCGGGTAGAAAGACCTCGACCATGGAGAATCCGTCTTCTCGTTTAGAGCCCTTGGAGTATTTTCACTGAGCTGGATTATTTTGGGTAAACACGGTTTGCAGAGAAATCAAAACATTGGGAAGACGCGGTGACAGCTTTCGCTTCTCGCAAGGAAAACGAAACAAAATATTGCCATGGCGCTGAAACACCCGGTAATATTTCCAAAACAGAAAAATGCCGTTCCGAAATATTTCTCAACGGCTTTCACATGACTTCAGTGTAAGCTTTTCATGAGTTTTACATGCAGGATGACAGAATGAAATATATCGGTTCATTAGGGCAATGAAAAAGGAAAACAATCAAAAAAATAATTCAAAATACAGCCAGCATTTTGTTGACTATTTGTATGAAGACGACAGCTTCATAATTTCCCGTGAACCATGAACCTCCAGTCTTTTTCCTACTCTTCCTCTACTCACCCTATATTTAAATTGATGTTTTAATCCCATTTTAAAACCTCCTGCCAAGAGGAACACCTGAAGCTTTGGGTTTCACCCAACAGAGACCGTTATTGCCTCTGCCTTAAAACTTCTTCACCCCTACAGTTTTGGAGCAACTGGGAGATTGGGAGAAAAGGCAAAACTGCTGCAGCTTCCTTTGGGAAACAAATTTCAACTTGTGGATTTGGTCGGATGGGAGGAGACGGGAAGGAAGAGAGCACAGATGGCACCACACGCTCTGCTCCATGAGGACGTAAGCACAGAGAAAGAGAAAAGGTTTTAACTTCTTTCACGAGTAATTTCTAAATGGACACCAAGACTTAAAGAAAGTCTCAGAAAGAGGATGCAATGTCAATTAAATT